AAAAAAAAAGGAAAATGAAATTTAGTATTCCCCTAAAAGTAGTAGAAGTCAGTACCCTGAAAATACTAACTCCTTTTACTTTTATTTACATTACATTCATTCTAGAAGTTTCTTTTTTTGATCAAAATTGTTGACGAAACAAAAGTTGACCCATTGCATTGAATTAATTTGATCAAACCGTAACTATGATAGGTTATGTGGAATAGCTGAAGACTGATATCCTTGTAACTCTGACGATCCTTTCTAGCATCATGCAGCATGCAATGAGGTAAAGCATCATGTTAGATGACCGGACACTCTTCTTCAATCTATTTTTAATAGTTTCCATTCATCATCCATCTATTTGTCTATCTATATTTTTGCATCCTTGCAGTCAAATCTTTTCTCTTGCCCTTTATTTGATTTATTAATGGTTGATTCAATTAGTTTTAAGAAATCAACGCACAGCTTTTCGAAATTCATTTTTTGTCCATATCGAATAATTCAGTTTCCCTGAATAAGTAGTTTTTAAAATGAATGTTTAGCGACTCCACTTTACATTTTGCTTGGCAGCAGCAACTTAAGTTTGAGCGAATGATTTTACTGTCTGAGGTTTAAGTTATGTCCAATTTCTGAATGTCATAACAGAAACAGTTGATGTTGATATGGCAAGTATACCATATTTTACTTGGAAAATGATAATGCATTCTACTTAGTGATTTGTACGATAGAATCAAGTACACACCTCGTTAGTCACTGATAAATGAATGATAATTTGTCTTTTTATTCCAATTTTTCTTTTTTTTCAGTCAAAGATTGTGCAGGTGAGAAAATAAATATATAACTTGTGTATATCCTGTAAATTATAAAATAGGTTATTTATTTATATCTACTTCATACTGTTTCATTTCAATTTATCGATGCTAATGATAATATCCGTTGTTTGTTAAATGTAGGTGCAACTTTTATGGCCCACTGTTGTACCAGACGATTAATTTATGCTTAAAAAGGCTGCATAAATAAATATATCTTTCAACATTACCATCAGTTTCTCCTTAACTTTTTGTTTCATTTTCATCATTTTTCGCACTACATCAATTGCTTTTCTAAATGCTATCATTCAAAGATAGACAAATTTATTTTTTTCGAAAATCTCCCTGACTGTCATATGATTTTCGTGTTTTCAAATTTCAATATGAAATTCTTTGATACTACCCAAACCTTTTTCTTTCATTCAGAAATTAATTGACGAGAATTATGTATTCCTAGTTTATAAGAAGAATGCAAGACAGATGGAAAGAGATGGTTGAGTAAAAATATCGAGTATGATAAAAGTTGATTTACAGAACAAGAAGAGAAAAGTAAAATAAACGACCCAATTCAACTATTCCACATAAATTATATAATTGTTTAAGCCAAGAGTCAATCCTCCTTTTTTTGACCTTTTTTCCCAGCCAATTACATTATGCTTCATATAAATTTCAACTATCCTTAAAAGTCCATTTTTATCCAGTTTTACAGATAAGTAAAAAGAAATTTGATGAAATTATTCGAGAGGTGAGCAACCGAAATTTTACAATAACTAATGTCGTAAACACCTAGCGAAGCAGCATGAGAAAGAGTTTGTAAATTTGTTGGGAAAAATGGAAGTGCTATAAACTTCTGGAGTTCAAATAAGAGCTAAATAGGTAAGTTCCCAAATTAAGTTATTAGCATCTCTCGGGACATCCCCCTCATTATTCAGGTTAAACGGTAATATTCTATGATCCCGGAAAAGCCGTTACTATTATTTTTTTCTCTTCTTTTTTTTTTTGAATTAGACGGGAGAATTCATGACAACATGCATTGCTC